GCTCGCTGCTAAAGTGCTTACAGATCACCGTTAAACATGCAACATTATCGTGAATTAGTCTGCATGAAAAAAAAACCTCGCAGAGCTTTGGGGCCAGGCACACTCTGCATCAATGATGTCCTCTGTTACTCTTTAAAGAGTCAAAACAGAGCTCCCAGCCTTCAAACCACACCCCAAACCAAAGCAGAGGCAAACAGGGGACAAAAACACTCTTATTTTCAAATGTAACGTCTAAAACTCAAAGTATAGAAGCAAAATGTTGCTGTGCACTAAATAAAGTAAATCAATGCAAGTTGTAATCATTTCTGTGCCATTTATACATTTTAATGAAAAACTACATAAGTATACACTTTCCTAACTTGAGGAAAAAAAAAATTATAATCCCTTCCATCAGTTTGAATGATTACGTTCGACTATGAATGACACCACATGGTGTCTGAGCCAGAGTTTCATAAACCAGGACAAAGGGATTCACTTAGCTTTGAGAAAAGCAAGTACATGCACAAAGACTTCAGTTCAGCTGAAGGCTCCATCTTACATCCCACTTAAGAATGCCAAACCAAGGCCACTAAATTAAAAAGAGGCCTGGCCTATATTTGGACTGACCATCAGTGCAATGGAAAAGTCAGTGGACTCTGTACCAGGAAACTTGATATTCTACTCAAAAGCAATGTAATAATTACCAGAATGAAAATTTCCACCCCTTGCTTACTTTGAAGAAAAAAAAAATGTGCTGCTGCAATCACCATGTCTGCTTCTTCACAACATTAAATTCACATGAAAAGGCACGTGCACACATACACACACGCACGTACACTCAACCTTGATATGTTCACCAGATTCTAAAAATCAAAGCCTGAAGCCCGTCTAGACATCAACCTCCTCCTACAGAATCTACTTTACCAGAACAATAACCGAGACAAAGACTCACAAATATGACACGACATTGAAAGACAACCCTCATACTCAAACACAGCCCAAGACAGGGATACTTTGAAATGAAAGCCGTTATTACTGAATTTCTTGTTTGCCTGCTCACTTCTCGCAGCTTCTACACACAAGCTCCTAGGATTACATCTCCTAGAGGCAAACGGATGAGGAAAGGGACAAAGGAAAATCCCAGGTATACAACTGCCTGCCATCAAAAAAGTTAATAACTGCATTTCTCTTGACACGAGGAGATTATTAAATTTGAACCCTTGCTGACTGACCAAATAAAGTCCTTCCCTCCGCCTTCCTCCCGGACATGAACTGTGCTGCTTATAAAGACGACAGCACAGTCACCAGGGCACGTCTGTTTACAAAGCTTCTCTGAACTGCCTTGAGTTCTTGTTGCTGAATTACTCAGAGTTCCTCCAATGCTCCACTACACAGACTCAAAGATCAAGATCAATTTATTGAATCGTAGGAAGCAGCCAAGCATGCCGCATCCTCGTCCAAAGTGCTGAGTGCTACAGTAAATATAAAGCTGCTAACACCATTAGCCTAAGACCTGAAAGGTACCATCTTCTTCCATGTGTCACTGGAAATGTGAAACCAGTAAGAGGAAATGGAGACCACAGCAAAGCCATTTATCAATGTCATTTTCCTCCTCATTGCTCCAGAAGACTGTGGCCTAGTGCACAAACTGTGCATGTGTGCAAATATAGTATGATCATATATATTTATACATAGATACATATTTTGCAGGATGGCTCTGAAACTCTGCTGAGGAGCATAAACAGGAAATATGGTATACGTATGAACTGCTTTCAGAAAAGCCTAGCATGCTCAACAGGTATGACTGTTTAATCTTTAACCCACTGATTAATTTAACATCCAACGTGCTTCCCCACAGAAAAAACACATGCACACATAAACCGTTTCGCTATTAGAGATTGAAAGAAAACAAAAAAAATAGAATTAATATCATTCAGACTTGACAACTTCAGACTCACCATTTTTTATTAAATACAATACACACAGCCTCATAGACACTTTAGTATAATTTCTTTTAAGCTGCTAATGAACTAAAATTATAAAGAAAGAAGTGGAGAACTTCATTTTAAAAAAAAAAAAAATCAAGATAACATATGTCCAAAACCACACAAATCAAAATGATTAAAATGCTCACTTAAATAGGTAATTACATCCTAAACATAACCCTTCCGTTGTCAGTTAAATCCCTAATAGGTCATCATTGGGGCAGTCAGACACACAACAAGGACAGCAGGGAACTTTGAGGGATTTAAGCCTGTAGGTGGTCTCCGAGAGTCTGAGGCTGCAGACACAAGTGGCTGAACAATGGTGTGACTAGGAGGTCAAAAGAACAACACCCATACAAACAGGGATGATTAATCAAACGCCATGGCCATACAAGAGTTGCATTGTTGCCTTACAACGTTCACGTAAAGCTAACGACCACACAGATTACACAGTACTATATACACCCAAAACAACACCTGTTTACTTACATTATGTTTAGCAAGGTCTTGAACTGAATTTGTCTCATATTAGTGCAACAAATTATCCCTCACAAGTAGGCAGGGTCAGTACTGAAATCTGCACAAAAAGCTAAATTTTTCAGAAAAGGATGTTTTTTTTAATTAATATAAATAAGCAGGAAGCACATGCTGCATCATGTGCTGAACACCTTGTAAAAATGACAAATGCAATGTAAAGTAAATCAGATATCTGTATATTGTGCATGCCCTCAACTAAATACATATATTTTTAATCTACCTCCCGGAAGATGGGGGCATTATTGAAGCCTAAATCCAGGGTGTTAAAAAACAGAGGATAGATTGTGTCACTTCCAGTTAATGTCATTAACCCTTCCTGTCATCTCATCATTCATTTACTCTGCTAGTCATTAATCAACCTCAGAGGAAACTGGCACACATTGATTCTATAGCACATAATTTGGCAAGTCCTTTTAAAGATGCCCACTGGAGCTTTTGTAGCCTTATAATGTCAAAGTCTGCACAACAGACTTTGCAACAGAAATTAGAAATGACAGTTTTAATGACAAATTCTTACACAAGCCCAGCACACTCACAACCCATGAGGATACAAGTCAATCCTAAACCTGTAGTGTGGGAATTTGTGTCTATCAGGTTGACTGCTTGGCTAGATCAGCATTCCTGAACTCATTGCGCTGTTGCAACAGCATGTTGGCCCACACAACTCCTGATTACCATAAACACAGTTCCAGCAACAATGTGAATCATATTCTCTGCAAATCTGTCAACCTTGCAGGTTTCACAACACACATGCATAACCGTTATAAACAATACAGAGCAGACACTGAGGAATGCTGTGGGACAGCACGCTAAACTACACAACTGTAACAGCAACCTACCATGGGGCAACTTATGCATGTGAGGTTGGGCAATAAATCAACCTATATTACAAAACTGTTTTCCAAAGATTACAAAAAAACAACGCACCTTTAAAAACATCTTGCCACAGGAACAATGGGTGACACTGGTAGTTTCACAGAAATGCTGATTAATGTGTTCTGTCCTTTTAGATACATGAATTTCTCTCAAGTTAAAGAACATCCACTTTAAAACAAACAAACAAACAAACAAACAAAAAAAAACCCCACTGAAATTAAGTAACCCTACCTCATCTTAACACCTTAAATTTTAAACTGCATGATACAGAAAAATACATGACTGTCATGCTCACCAGTATTTCTTGGAAACACCGGGTGTCTCAACATATGTTAAAGAAAATCAATAAGTGTTCAGACCATTTTGTGTCGTGCATTAATTCAGCTGAAAATATCATTCTATGCCAACTAAACTTTATATTATATGTGAGATACAGAGCACTGATAAGCAGAAAAAAAATGTACACTCTACCACAGAGATTGGGGAGGATTACAGATTCAAATATCTGGCATCCGCACTTGGAAGTGGGCTCCAAACCAAAGTTGTTCGACACAAATCAACCATGTGTTGTCCCACATATGCAAGCAGTCAAGAGATTATCCAGGGTGAGTATGCACAAATATATCAAATATATCACAGCATTAGTGGGATTTACTGCTTGTGACCAGTTCACCACACGTGTTTTCAGTTCATATGCAAGTTAGCACAGGGTCAACACTGCAATGAAATGCATTTGACGAGCAGCAGACAGTAACTCAGCAGTATAGTATACTGTTGCAGTATTTGATAAAGTATTTACTAAGTGTGAGCCTTTATTTACTGATATGATCAACTGCAAAGACTGTAGATTCACAAGTAATGATTAACCACGAACGGAAACTGAAATGTATAAAGATCTGATAACATGCTAAGCAGTAATCTACTTCAGTATGCGTAACTTGGTCTACTTATATCAACTTCAGACCTCTGACCAAAGTTTGTAAGAGTATCTTTTAGGCAGTAAGTTAGCTTTCCTCACTTTTCTAGGACATTTACACAGAATGAATCAAAATCAGGACAACTGCCTTATTTTTCTCTGTCGGATGAAGCTCTCTAAAATTAAGAAAATTGTTCAAGAGGGAAATGGTACATAAGCAGATTTAAGTTAAAAATGTAAAAACAAAAACAAAATATATAGCAGACACTATAGACGAGTAACCACATCACTGTTTTACATTCCTGACGTCTCTTTAAATTTATTGGGCCACTTTTGACATCTGGAAGGAGGCTGATACCACATCACTCACATACACATCTGCAAATACATCTCCGTTTATACAGTCAACTCTTTATGTGGCATGAGCTTGCGTGGACCCATTTAATTCTGTGTGTATGCTGAGCTAAACTTGACGAGTGTGTTAACTGATACATTTTTCCACTGTAAGTGGTAAAGGTGGTGAAAGCCAACTCCTGTTTTAGGCATAAAGGAACATGGGGTATGTATGAAGAGCTAAATTTAAGGGATTTTGACTCTTCTCACTAAATCCACACATTTTTATGACCTATCTGCAATAAATAGCTCCTAACAATCACTTCAGTGTGGCTACTTTTAACTTGTGATAAAGCAAAGTAGTAAAATCTTACCTGATAGTAGGATTTAATCTGCCTGATGAGAATAGAAAGATTCTGAATGCGCAGTGTCGAGTCATTGTTCACTTTCTTGTTGGTGCGCTGCACTGTGGCTTTGGGATTTCTGTAGGAGAAATGGAATAGGGTTATTCAACAATCCAAGTTTGTAGCAAAGATAAATATCAGGTGAAGATTTCTTTGTTTCTAAGAATTGCCATTGTATCATTGCTTTATGTAATAGAATGGGTCTGTATATAAGCCGTAGAGTGACAGTAGACCCTTGCTTAAATAAACAGAGTGCCATAAACATGTTAAAAGAAACCACAATCACAATAAAAGCAATCACAACAAAACATTGGTGGCACCAAAGTTTCAGACAGTTTCTAGGGTCCAAATTAAAGTACTAAAATTCAAAGCTCTTGAAGCATTTAAACATTTGGGTTACACCAATGGTTCTCAAACTGTGGGGGAAAGTCACTGAGATGGGGCATAGTGGTTCTGTTGATGGGACGTGGACAACCAGAGGGGGGAGGAGTGAAGCAAAGTTAATTTTATATCACTTTTAGGGGGAAATTGCACAAACAAGAGCTTCCTTTTACTTACTACATTTTTTACTTCGATTTGGGGAATGTCAGAAAACATTTGATACCCACTAGGCTACACTGAGGCGTTGTATATCAGCAGGTCTGTGACATTTAACTGTGATCATTGCCTTCATACTGCCTGCAGAGTCAAGAGGCTGTGTGCCCTCGGTGAGTGTTGCCTAAGGGATGTTAAACGGCGCATGCATCACAACTTATATTATCACAGGTGTCAACACGTTTTAAGGAGCCAAACATTCCACATCCACACATAACCATTTCACATAGTAACTGATAGCAATCCAAACAATTTGCACATCTGTGAATGTTACCAAGCCTAATCACAAACATTCACCAATTAAGTCTACTGGTAAGATAATTAATCGGACAATTCCTTAGCAACTTGTATCCTCCCATCGTTGGAAAGCCTGACATGCTGACTGTCAAGTTCAGAGTCTCATTTATGGCTAATAATCTCCCAGGTTTTAACGGTAAAGTTCTTTGATTGGATAAACAACACTGATTGGAGGGAGAGAAAAAAAGTTCAACTAGCTAGTTAGAGGTTAAAAAGATTGATACTATACAAGTCTTGTGTATTTAATGTGATATCGACTGATCCCCTAAAGGAAATTCCAGTTTCCTTGAGTCACAGAACTGAGGCGATGACAAAATAGCAGCCCTTGAGCAACTAGAGAGAAAGTCTTAATTTCACATTTGCTAATGCCAAATGCATCTATATATTGCTGTAACATTTGTCTCAAATACTTTTCATACAGTTTATTTGTTCTACAGAATGAGTGTAGCTTTAGATGGGCAGCATTTCCTTCAGTAATCCCACTAAAAGTTCCACTAAAAGTCCACCCGATGAGTCAATGGTTCGCAGACATCTTTACTTTTTTTTTTTTTTTTTTTTTTTTTTTTTTTACCCTGAACTTTAATAATTGTTTTCTGCACGACTTTATCAGTCTCTCACATTCTTGTGAAGGAATTTTGGCTCGTTCTTTTTCACAGCATTACTTCAGTTTACTCCACTGAGGCCTGCAGGCTTTCTTTTATGCACATTTGCTGGTATACTCAGGATCACACTCCTGTTTTTCATGACCCAATTTGGGACAACATTTAGTTTTGGGACACATGGCCTCACATTTAACTCTAGAATACTTGGTAAACAGAGGAGTTCA